ATTTCGTTACGTCTGAACTTTTAAAAGTTTTGTTGGTGCGTGTTGTTGATTATTATATGGACACCTCCTACCGGTAAGATATCAATCGTAAAAGTTTTTAAAGAGTTTATTGAACAGCTCTAAAATTTTATTACAGCTTTAAACTGTAGACTGGAAGGTGTTATTCCTGCGTGTATCCATGTCTATTACTTTACACATCCGTGTTTGTCTTTTTAATTATCCTTGTATGTCTTTTTAGATGCGTGAATTTGTTTGGTTTTATTACTCTCAGTTTAGTCATTGTAAAGTGTCTGTCTAGTATATAAGATAGTTTTGGCATTTCGATATATTCATTATTAAAAATACAGACAAATATTTATACTTTCTTTATATAACAACAGCTTAAATAAGTTAAATAATTTACATATCTTTTAATTTAAAATTAAAATTGCCAGTTCAGAAACTCAATTCAATATCAATAGTCAATTAATATTCAAATTTCAAAATGGTTCCAAAAATTCGCAATCGGAGGAAGAAGAGGACGGTTAAGATGGATGCTAACAAAAGATCTTCTGAGGGATGTAATGAAATCCATCCCGATATTGGCGAGAATAAGTGTGATGGGATATTACAGAAGACGAAGGACAATGAAAAGAACAATGATAAAGACCATAAAGGACAAAATGAAATCACAAATATTACCGGTTCGGATTTTATCGGTTCGGATAATACCGGTTCGGATAATACCGGTTCGGATATTACCGGTTCGAATAATACCGGTCCGGATAATACCGGTCCGGATAAAACCGGTCAGAAAAACGAGGATTCTGACGACGATTTCAGTAGCGACTGTGAAGAAACTTACAAAGAACTTTATAACGAAAGCTTCGAGGAGATGTATAACAATATTTTTTGTGATAGCGGTTTCAATATCAGTAGCTACATCAATAGCGACGCCAGTAGTAGCAACAAATGTGCAGCCAGCGACAAAAACGATAATCATAGTCAGAACTGCAATGAAAATGTCCCTTCAATGTTTTCTGATAGTCAGGATGAAATTTGCAAAACTCCGCGTAAATGTTTAAGAAATTCACTACAATGTCAACAGGGGGAGGGAAGGTCTCTACCAGAAGATGAAAAAAATTATCAACAAAGTGAAGTTAGAGAACAAGATTCACATCAAAATGAAGAGCAACATCAGCAGCAGCTTTTTCAATCACCACAAGAGCAACTTCAACAGCAGCTTCTACAACCACAAGAGCAACTTCAACAGCAGCTTCTACAACCACAAGAGCAACATCAGCAGCAATTTTTACAACCACAAGAACAACATCAGCAGCAGCTTCTACAACCACAAGAGCAACATCGGCAGCAGCTTCTACAACCACAAGAGCAACATCGGCAGCAGTTTTTACAATCGTTTGAGCCACATCAGCAGCAGCTTCTACAACCACTAGAACAACTTCAGCAGCAGCTTTTACAGCCACAAAAACAACATAAGCAGCAGCTTCTACAACCACAAGAACATAAGCAGCAGCTTTTACAACCACAAGAACATCAGCAGCAGCTTTTACAGCCACAAAAACAACATAAGCAGCAGCTTCTACAACCACAAGAACATCAGCAGCAGCTTTTACAGCAACAAAAACAACATAAGCAGCAGCTTCTACAACCACAAGAACATCAGCAGCAGTTTTTACAGCCACAAAAACAACATAAGCAGCAGCAGCTTCTACAACCACAAGAACATCAGCAAAAGCTTTTACAGCCACAAAAACAACATAAGCAGCAGCTTCTACAACCACAAGAACATCAGCAGCAGCTTTTACAGCAACAAAAACAACATAAGCAGCAGCTTCTACAACCACAAGAACATCAGCAGCAGTTTTTACAGCCACAAAAACAACATAAGCAGCAGCAGCTTCTACAACCACAAGAACATCAGCAAAAGCTTTTACAACCACAAGAGCAACATCAGCTGCAGTTTTTACAACCACAAGAACAACATCAGCAGTTTTTACAACCACAAGAACAACATCAGCAGTTTCAACAACTTCAAGAACAACATCAGCAGTTTCAACAACTTCAAGAACAACCTCAGCAGCAGCTTCTACAACCACAAGAGCAACATCAGCAGCAGCTTCTACAACCACAAGAACAACATCAGCAGCAGCTTTTACAACCACAAGAACAACATCAGCAGCAGTTTTTACAATCATTTGAACAACATCAGCAGCAGCTTCTACAACCACAAGAACAACATCAGCAGCTTCTACAACCGCAACATCAGCAGCTTCTACAACCACAAGAACATCATCAGCAGCAGCTTCTACAAACACAACAGCAACAACATCTAGAAGAACAACAACAACTGCAGCAAGAAGCACACCAACAACAGCAACCGCCTTTATACCAACAACTTGAATTGCAACACTATGAACAGGATGGGCTTCATAAAACGATTCATCATCAACAGCTCCAGCAACAGTTTGACCAAGAACCAGCAAAACAACAAAAACAAGATCATCATCTGAAAGAACAACCACAACAACAGCAACAACAACGGCAACTTCTATTAACACAAACTTATTCACTGCATCAGCATGAGCCATATTTGCAACAGTTGCTACCAGAACGAAAACCACAACACGAAAATGAACAAATACAAGAAATAAAATTTGAAAGACAGCAAACACAACAAGATGAAGAACAGTCTAGTAAAATAAAATTTTGCATAATGAAACTGGAAGAGGAGATAAATGACTTGGACGCCACCCTAGTGAGATCTTGTGAATATGATAAAGACGAAAAATCGCAGCAGCGCCAACTACAACTTCGTGGTCAGCTCGTGAAAAAAATTCAACAGCAGCACCGATGCTTGCGGCTCCTGCTACCACATCTACAAATGCAAAGTCAACAGTGGCAACAAGTTCCTTATCTAATACAACAACCAGAAGAAGCGATCAATCTACTACAGCCACAACTGCCACAACAACAGCAACTACCACTGCAACAACCACGCCAACAACTTCAGCAGCAGCCACAACAGACGCGGCAAGGGCGACAATATCAGCAGAGAATTCGACAAAAGTTGTATTTGCAACAAATTCAACAACAAGCTAATGATCAACAACCATCCCAAATACAGCGAGAGCAAAAATCAACACAACAACAATCACTACAACAACACAAGCAGCCAAAAAAGCAACCACTAAAACTACAACAACAGCTAAAACAACCACAACAGCCAGTACTACAACCACAACAGCAATTACTACAACATCAACAACAACTACTACAACCACAACAACAACTACTACAACCACAACAGCAGCTCATACAACCACAACAACAACAACTACTACAACCACAACAACAACAACTACTACAACTACAACAACAACAACTACTACAACCACAACAGCAGCTCATACAACCACAACAACAACTACTACAACCACAGCAGCAACTACTACAACCACAGCAGCAACTACTACAACCACAGCAGCAACTACTACAACCACAGCAGCAACTACTACAACCACAACACCAACTGCTACAACCACAGCAGCAACTACTACAACCACAAGAGCAGCTACTACAACTACAGCTACTACAACCACAGCTACTACAACCACAGCTTCTACGACCTCAGCTTCTGCAACCACAAGAAAAGCTGCTAAAACCACCACCAAATCTGCAACATCAACCAGAAATAATATTTCCACAGGAATTAAAAATGCCGACGCAACCGCCACAAAAAATAGTATCATCACAACAACTTACACTTCCGAAACAGCCACAGGTACTACCGCTTCAAACACCACAGCTACTACAACCACCACAGCTACTACAACCACCACAGCTACTACCACCACCACAGCTACTAAAACCACCACAGCTACTAAAACCACCACAGCTACTAAAACCACCACAGCTACTACAACCACCACAGCTACTACAACCACCACAGCTACTACAACCATCACTGATGCAACAACAGCTACAACAGCAACTGCCACTGCTTAAAAACGAATTTCAAAATGAGTTAGATTCAAATTCAACAGCTGCAACATTGAACGATGATTCTAATTCCAACCTAAGTGACTACTACACTTCAAGTAGCAACTGTACTTCAACTAACGATGGCTCTATAAGCGATAGCGAAACTTCATGTAGCAACAGTACCGACTCCGCGTATCCTATAAATAATTTCTACCTACCTACTGTCTATGAAGAAAGTGAAGTTCAAAAAATGAATGAAGAATGTAAGTTCCTATTAGTTTAAATTTATTTTGTGATTTTTGTGAAGCAACTTTTTTTTACAAAAGCCGTTCATTAATGATGAAAACTGTCTAAATTATTCGGGAAAATTCACATTTATTTATTTCTATTTGAAAACGGTGCAATGGGAATAATTTGAACTGATTACTTAATTGATTGATTACTCGAGTGATCACTCGATTGATTGATTGATTGAAAAGCCTACAATTTATTTTTCAGATATTGCCGACGACGAAGACAGATCATCGGAGCATGAGAAAATGGACAAAGTCGGTAAAAAAAGACCGAGGTTCTCGTACACCAGGCAACAGTTGAAAGAATTGGAAGAACATTTTCTGGTCAACCCCTACCTAACGAAGTCACCAATGGCCCAGTTGTCCGTTAAACTGAACATTCCCGAAAGCCAGGTCAAAATTTGGTTTCAGAACAGAAGGATGAGAGAAAAGAAGAAACCTGGCATCTTTGGAAGATGACCAAGTTGCATTCATTCATTAAATTAAAATTTTGTAGACAGTATTGTATTTCTGTAAATAGTACCATTGTGAGTATTTTAAGGTAATAACCATGAATTTTGAATAATTAACTATGAATTAAAATCGCAAATTGTATAATAAATTTTAATTAAGAAAAATGTAAATGTCGGTTAAATAAATTATTCTGTTTTGTTAATTTATTTTTATTTTTCCGTCTTGCTATCATCATCGTTGTCATCATCACAGCAATCTTCATAGTCATTACCTAAAATTTTAAAGCATGAAATACAGCTAGAAATTATATTTGGAAAAAAAATACCTATACTGATTACCTAACAATAGAATGTTTTCAATGTCTATCATGAAGTTAAAAAATGTTCTCCTTTGTTGTTTTATTAGAATCATAATCATTACTGAAATCGCTATTGACAACAGCCATAACGGATAGATACAACAATCCGCACATTCCTACTTGCATAAATATAAAATTAGGATACATAATGACTAGCATTGGTGGGGAGGCGTGTATGAACTTGGACACGAATTGGCCACCAAATGTTTTAGGCCAAGAAGGAACGCTTTTTCGAGTTTAATAAAATGATAATTCCTCTAAGAAAAAGAAAATAGAATTATTAAAATAGGATTGGGACTTTGTTGCGAAATCGTTGGCGGAAATGACGTCATTTTAATAGTAAAAAATGTTGAAATGTACGATACTGACTTAGCCGGTATCAACATTATATTCGAATCCTATGTTATGTTGTTGTAATTTGTCTATTCTACTCAATTTTTTCCTACTCTGGTAATATGAAATCACAAATATGAAGTGTAAAATGAGCTGTGCTAACAAGCAATAGAAAAGCTAGGGATTGAGTTAGCTGAAGGTAGGTAGGTGAGATCTGAGTTAATTGAACATAGGCAGGCCATGGCTGGAATTAAATTAATGTTAAAAAAAATAATTGTCACTAGGTAGGTAGCTTTGTATCGTCTCCTTTTTATTTTTAGTGAATGTTTTTGTTTTCACTAAACACGCAGTATGCATACATTACAAAAAACGAACATGATACAAACATGATACAAACAAATATGGACATGACGTCAATGATGGGCGCTTTTCCAGTTAAACTTGTATGCTTAGTGTATACATGCATGCAAATAGAATAATTTTTTGCTTATTGCATAATTTTTTCTGCAATGTACATATGGAAACACAAGGATGTATGCTGTAAAAAAAAATGTTTCTTTGTTTATTTCTTTCTCTCTGTTTGTGTGTGTGCGTGCGTGCGTGTGTGTGCATGTACGGACATACACATATACACACGCACATTCAAACATACATATACAGGCATACATCATACATACATAAGCATATGCCTGCAAACATCATTTATCACAGTTTACTTGAGAAATTGGATGAATCACCATCAAATCGAAATATATCAATAAAATGAAACAATTAAACCAAATGAACTCGCAAATTAACATAATCATCGATCAATAATCCAATAACTAACCTTTGTTACATTTGACACATGGCATTAATTAAAAAAGTAATTAATGCTAATTAGGTAATAAACTAATATGAATACCCGTCAATCAATTAAATCTTTAACGACGTATTCACAGTTGAGCGGGTTGAAGTTTTGACAGATAGATTAATGGACAAATGAATAATGAATGAAAGAATGAATGAATGGATGGATGAATGAATGAATGAAAGAATAAATGAATGAATGAAGAAATGGATGGATGTGTAATTTAATGAACGGATTAAAAAAAACAAACAAATGAACAAACAAACAAACAAACATATGAATAAATGGACGGATTGATTTGTGGATAAATAAAATTTAACACACACACACACACACACATCAAACCGACGAATAAAGATAACGCGTTTTTAATTAGGCCGAATTTTGAAAATATTTATTCTCTCAAAATCCGATGAATCAATTAACTATGATACATCATGAATGTCAAATGATTAATGTCGACAATAATGATAATTTATTCAGATGATGATAATGTTCTACTACTACTACCGCTTCTGCTACCGCTACTAACTATTAATGCTTTTACTACTTCTGCTACCGCTACTACTAAAGCTGCTGCTACTACTGCTACTACTATTACTACTACTACTACTACTACTACTACTACTACTACTACTACTACTACTACTACTACTACTACTACTACTACTACTACTACTACTGCTACTACTACTACTACTGCTGCTACTACTACTACAACAACAACAGCTACTACTACTACTACTTTCTACTACTACTACTACTATAACTAATCCTATTAATTATAACAAAATTGATATTAAGAACCATAATTATTGTTACATTTCGCAAGAATGAAATGACGTTTCATGGCTTATTAATAATAGTTGATGTTGAAGCAGTAATAAACTAATAGGAATATGCAGTGGAATTGAACTATGCTAAATTAAACCTCACAAAAAGCTTGTATAATAAATGTCTTTATTAGTCATTAAATCATAAATGTATAAGGCCGAATATTAAAAGTTGTAAAAAATTAATAATAAAAGGAACTAATTATTACTAAAAATTAATAATTAAACTAGATTTTTATGATGGAAAGTTGAGGAAATGATGAATTGAAATTTAAACTCCAATTTAAACCTTTCCGAAATTATGTAGTTATTATAAAATATTTCAGTGAATTAACATTATGAATAAAAAACTTCCATATATATATATGTATGTATGTATATATATATATATATATATATATATATATATATATATATATATATATATATATACAAATTTAATAATTTATTTCGTATAATTGTTAAATAATTATCTCTCTCTATCCCATATCCCTCCAGTATAGTCATATGAATGTATGTTTGTATATATATAAAGATAATGTATATTATACATTATATATGAACTTATAAAGTTACGCTCTCTTTTCATTACACTCTTTTTTGACATAAATTATTTAAACCCAGCTAGCAGTCGTTAAACCATCTTCACTAACAAATTTGAACCTTTGATTTCGGAATTAAAGTTGGAGTTTGCGAGTTTTTCGCTAATTTAAAGCTTCTAATCTTAGATTTTAATCGAGAAAATTGTTAAAATATTTGAAATTTATTAGTTTCTAAAAAATTTTTGTCTAAATTTTTTTATAAGTTTCAAGTGAAACCAAAATATGGGCCAAGTTATTGCTTCCAGATTTTCCGGGGCTCTCCCGTCACTAATCACCGCATCTGGCGCCGGAGATGTACCTGCTGAAGAACGTAATGCAGCTTGGTATGTGAAACTGGGGGCCAAAATTTTGGCCATCATTGGTGGACTGGGTTAGTAGGGCATTTTATTTTTTATATTTATTCATTAATTAATGTTTTTAAATTTTTATTTATAGATTATTATTGCCTAGTGATTAGTCTTTTTGTCTAACCTACTATCAACTATCTCTTCATTATAATATCAAGATTAAACATTAAATAAAATAAATATTTCACATTTTAATTTAAATTATAATTTATAAATATGTTTTTTATTTATATTAATAATTATGTTATAGGTGCTGTGATTGTTGGTGTCATTACCCTCATCTCATTCTCTTTGAGTTGTATAATAGCTGGAATCCTAATGATGTTAGCATTAATTAATTTTTTTTGTTTAATATCATTTTATTATTTTTATTATATTATTTGTGATACTGAAATGATTAGATCCAATAACTGAACAGACTAAGATTAGGCAACTAACATAATTTATTCAATTACTAATTTTCTTCAAATTATTTTCTAAATTTCAGCTTATCTGGCATTTTTGTTTTAATAATCGAAATGCAAACGTTCTGTTCGGCTTTTTCGGTTTTCGCTGTCATCATAAAGATGGCTGAGAAGATCACCTACCTACCAAAGGCCATCATATATATTGCGTTAGTTTAATAATAATAAAAAAATTTTAATAATATTTATTTTTATCGTTAACATTATTAAATGTATTTAAATTGTCAATAATGAATAAGCATTTTTTAATTAGTTAGTAAATGTTATATCAGCAAAATTGATTTATTCATCATTATAATATGGCCATTACACACTACATATTTATCTGTTTATTAGTATTGTTATTATTACTAGTAGTAGTAGAAGTAGTAGCAGCAGTAGTAGTAGTAGCTACAGAAGCAACAGTAATAGCATCAGCAGTTACTGTTATGACATATTTACAAAATGCTAATATGAATATTGTATGTATAGATTGAATTAAAATTGAAAGAAATTTTTGCTTGGTTGTTTATAGGGCAGCCATATTGCCACTCTGCTTGTGTTTCTCTATATCTGCTGTGATTACAGGACTGCTTCTGATAGGCGCTGCTTTGTTGAATGTCTACATGATGGTAGGACAGAAGTGAGTTTTTTTTCAATGGTTGTTTGTTGGTTTGTTGGTCGGCTGACTGATTGGTTTGATGGTTAGTTGGTTGGTTGGCTGACTGGCTGGTTGATTGGTTGGTTGATTGATTTGTAGATCAGTTCAGGAATGAAGAAATGAGTGAATGAAATTTAAATGGAAATAATTAATATTAATTGTTTTTTCTTAATCGTCTAGTCTAGACTGTTAAGTTTGTTATATGCACTGTATACATATTGCAGTTGTGCTACCTTGTGTTATTGTAATTGTGCTGTCTTATAGTTCATTCATTCATTCATTCATTCATTCATTCATTTGTTCATTCATTTTTTTATCCATCCATCCATTCATTCGTTCATTTTTGTGCTTTTCATATTTTGTCCATTTTTATTTCAAATATTATTTTAAAATTGAAAATTTACATATATAGCGCCTTTTTATTTTCATTTTGGTTTTTATATTTTTATTCTTTTGATCAACTTTTGGGTCTAACATTACTCATCTTTCCCCATCAAATTTAAACTTCATCCGTTCATTCATTTCAAAGTTACATTAATACACCTCTAATAATATCAATAATAAACATAATATAATAACAATAATAATAAATAATTAAATAGATGGTGTGGCAGAGCTGATAGTAATAAAAATAATGCAGCATCAGCAGCAAGTCAAGCTGAGCAAGGAGTCCACTTCAGCAACGTGCAGTCACAGCAGCAACCACAGCAGCAGCAAAAATCAGGAATAACTATTCCATTGAATCTTAAATTTTAACATCAAAAACTCCAGCATTCAATAACATCACGACGACCCATGTAACATCAACATACAATAGGCAAGAGGCCATATGACACTGATATAATATATAGACTATAGACAATGCCTAGACATAGACACTGAGCCAGCTACAGCAACACACGTCAACACATGTAACAACAACACAAATTACCCAACAATACACAAATACAACAACAGCAATACTCAAAACATGACAACAAAACACAACCCAACAACTTATTATACGTACATAAATATTCTGTAATAACAGTTTCCTTTTAGTCTAAAATTTTAATTTAGCTTCCTAATTATCATAATTTATTCATATCCGCCCCCAGCAACAACAATCAGCAATAAAAATAATCACCAGCAACAACAATAATGATGATATTAACCTATAGTCACCCAAATTACTGTTAATTTATTCTAGATTTTTTTATTTTATACTTTTTTGTCTTTTTCTGTTATTTTTTTTAAATCTAAAATTAGAGTATATTTTATTAATATTACTATTATTGTTGCTCATTTTTTTCTAAGTTTAATTCAATTTGTTTAACAGATTTTCGGATTCATTTTGTCAGTCAGCCAATTATTTTAGCATGTACAATGACGTCCCTATTTTAATTTAACATCTTTCTTGTCTAACTCTGCCTATGCTTGTCTGACTTGCCTCTCTATGTTTGTTTACTCTCTCTATCTGCTTCTCTATACCTGTCTTCATTCATTGATCTGTCTGTGTGTCTTTCTATCTGTCTGTTGTCTGTCTGCCTGTCTGTCTCTCTATTTGCCTATTCATGTGCATATTAATAATTATTTTTTGGAATAATTTTGGATATTGAATTATGATTTTGTCATATTATGTTTTTATTTTTTGTTGATGCTCAATATCAGTCATAAATGCATTTTACTGATATATATATATATATATATATATATATATATACGTATATATATATATACGTATATATATATATATATATATATATAGTTATTTTATACACAACTATCATTCCTATATGCATATATATTGTATATGTATATATTAGCAATCACTTGATTAGTATTATAAATCTAGTATTTTATGTTATATTATAATATATATATATATATATATATATATATATAATTTACTTGTTTGTTATAATTTATGCTATTTTATTCCATTAAATCGACATATGCATGCATATCAAATAAATGTAAATTTACTTATGTTCTTTTTTTTCTTTTATTTTTGTTTAGTTTGAATACATTTTATGTCTACATATTCGTTTTGTTTTCATTCTCTCTGTTTATTTAACAAAGTTAAAAGTTGGTGCACTCACAGGCATACACACACACAGGCATCATCTTACACACACACACACACACACACACACACACACACACAGACAGACATAATCTGTGTGTGTGTATGTGTGTGTGTGTGTGTGTGCCTGCTTGTTAGTTGTAGTTAGTAACCCTGCATTCCTACCTATTACATAATGTACACATTACGTAATGTGTGATGTACACCTTACATTTTTGTCTATAGCCCAGATCGTACAAACTGAAAATTTAAAATAATTGAAGTTAATGATAGATTATAACATCAAGAGAACGATGGTTAAAGTGGCAAGCATCAATAATTCTTGAAAACAGAGCCTTTTGTCGCTAAATATTCCCTCAGTTTTTTTTTTGAATAGATGTATAGAATTCCTTTTTTTTTATGTCCAACGGATGTGTATCCCACATTCCTGGTTCAGTATATTTTAAACTTGGACAAAGAAATCTCATTTCTGGCTGGCGGATTAAAAAAAAGTTGCGATTGCACAGGATTGCCAATAATGAAAAAAATCTTCATAGAATGCTGGTAGTTTCTTGTGTAGAAATTTAAAAATAAATATTGTTACATGATATATCTTGTCTGTAGGTCTTGAATTAAGAATTTTTAACTGATGCAAGTATTCACTCTTATGACTGGACGTATGAAGATTTAATTATATACATAATACTGTACATACTTATGGGCCTACACACGCACACACGTACATTTTCATATAAATGCACGTACACACAAACACATGCACATGTGCGCATATTTTGATATACTTACATACACGCTAATTCACACACGTAATTGTAATTGTTTTAGCTTCACTTTTATTTATTTGTTTGAGTGAAATTTCATGAAACGTGTATGCAATTGACAGCTGTATGTAAATATTGAGTATATTTTAAAGACATTTTTTAACAAATTATAAACCAATTTAAGTGCTTATTAGTTAGGGTATAAATGTTTATCTTAACACTAAGTTCGTCTCATTAAAAGCGTAACGGCCTGTTATTCAAGAATATTACTTCATCAAAAATTTCAACCTAAACTAACTAGCATATCTACGCATATATATATATATAAACCTTATTTTAACTTAATCAGAAATCATTTGAATACATACATATATTATTACAACTTCTGCCTGAACTAATTTGCATACAAGTGACATTACTTTAACTAATTTGCATATTCATGACAGGGCCGACAGGCAGCAAATGATGGCAACAGCCCAGGCGGGTGACAGCCAACTACCTCCCCAGATGCAGAGGGCAGACGACATCAGTAGAGCGGGGCTTATTGACAACCAGGAGGCCTATCAATACCCTCCTCCGCAGTACCCTCCTACGCAGAGTGGATTTCATTAAGGGCGTGGGTAGATTTCATAAGTGTGTGTGCGTATACGCGCGTTAGTGTGTGTGTGCGTGCGTTAGATGTTTGATGTTTGACTGCCGTCAAATATTCTTCTTCTATATAATTGAGGGATGCTTGAGTGTATTCAATATTTTTTGAATGGATGAATGAATGCATGAATTATTGAATGGGTGAACGAATGAGTGATTGAATGAGCAGAGCGAATGATGAAATCGGTCTGTAGTCCCTGGCATTAAGTAGAATAATTTGTCATCGACAATTCTCTGTTGTCTTGTGCTATTTTTAGTTTGAATTTGGGGGTTTGGCTAGGGGGCCATCTTTTAAGCCCATCCCTTCCCACAAAAAAATTTCTGGATACGTTACAAGTTTTGATTCGGGAGTTACTGAGTTAATCTATTTTATTTTATTTCAATTTTCTATTAAATGCATATATCTTATTTATTATTATTATTTATAGTTTATTTTATATCTTACTTTTCATATTTGAGTTTTTTGAAATCAAACAAAGTCACTCACTCCTAATCGACGATATTATACGATGCATAGACCATTTCAGCTTATTTTTTGCTTTTTGCATTGTTCAGTGGGTATATACGTACATTTATGAATGCTTTTTTTTGTTTTTATTTTTAGCCACACACGCACACACATATACTCTCTCTCTCTCTCTCTCTCTTTTTCTCTCTCTCTCTCTCTCACACACACACACACACGCACATTCAGTCAGTCACAAAATCGAGTATTCATTTTTCAGTTTTTGCCGACTTGCAATCTCTCAATTTATATTATTTTTACATAGCTATTTCATTTTTTACGCACGTCATAACTTTTTCTTAAATTTTTTTGTTATGAAAAATGTTCTCTGTGTGTGTTAGTGTGTGTGTGTGTGTGTGTGTGTGTGTGTGTGTGTGTGTGTGTGTGTGAGTGTTTTTGTGAGTGTGTGTGTATCCGTTAATTTGCATTCCGCTTAACCGAGAAAAATGTTTTTGAAGTTTCGACCAAGTTCTGATAAATATAAATATATATATGTTTATATATATATACAAATATAGATATGTTTGTGTGCGTGTGTGTGTTCGTTTGTTTGTTTGTATCCATCTATCTATTTTTATGTTAGATCTAGAAAGCTGTATCTTTATTCATAGTATAGAATTGTCTCTATATGTATTCTAAATTTCAAATTATTCTTTATGCATGTGTGTGTGTATGTGTGTATATGTGTGTGTATGTTTAATTCGTTCTCACTCATTCCAAATTTATTCCAAATTTCCATTTCAAATTGTGACTAGATAGATGTGACTAGATTTTTCATTTTACTTAACGATTTATATAACGCTCAAATTAATCAAATTAATCGTTTAATTAAGCATTATTATTATTATTTAGATTATTATTATTCTTATATAATTATTTTTATTATTATTTAATATTATGTATTATAGATAGGTGAGATAATCTAATGATAATAAACTATTATTTATCTACTATATAACTGTTGTTTGAGTGACGTTATTACTTGTCTATATAGTGTTATATATATATGTGTAAATATATTCATAAGAATGTGTGTGTTGTATTGTCCTCACATATAGACGAATTAGTTTTTATACAACGTAGATTTTTCATGTATAATAATATGGTATGCTTTATATTGCATAGTTTTATATATAATTTATTAATATTATGTGTGTTTGTGTGTGTGTGCGTGCGAGCATGTGTTTCAAACGCTGTCATGTATCTGTATCATGTCGTTTTTCATCGTATTAATAAATGTAGTTAGTGAAATATATTGAGGATATTTTGAAATATACAGTATTAATGTATTTGTTTCGTTTTGTGGTTTCGCTTTTTAAATCAAACGTTTCTCGGAATCAATCAATCAATCAATCAATCAATTAGCTTTTAAAGCGCTATTTCCGCGATGTTCAACAATGCTTCTCAATGAATTTTTCAAACAGATGGGTCTTGAGATCCACTCTGAACTTCGTAAGTGATGGAGAAGTGGTCAGAGAATTAGGAATATCAGATTCTGATATGTGTGCAAGGTTTTTAGTTGCGTACTTATTTAATTTATCCTTCTTTATACGATTCTCATTTCTGACTCAGGTTGTCTATGTTGCAAGTTTTGTCTATAGACCAATCCTGGGCTACGGCCCTGTCGCTAGATCGAAAAATCGCTTGTTTAAAGTCTCCCGATCTCAAGAAAATTAATTTTATTTCTTTGTTCATTGGTTTGTCTTTGTTAACGATATCAAGTTTGTGTAAAAGTTTTCAATCGTGTGCTTGTTATAATAGTTTTATATATTTTCCATTAATTTATTTAAAATGCCGAAAATAACAAACAAAAACCGTTAGTCAATTAATTTTTGATTTTTTTCCTAATTGTTTTTTTATTTTTAAAATTCACCAAAAATTTTGATCTAGAAAATTCGGCTGTGGAAGAAGAAAAGTTGACAGTGCCTGAAGGTTGGAAACCGGAGAAGTTTAACAAAGAAGACTATCCCCATGGTCTGGTGGACACGAGTTCATTTGCCTTTTTGTTTCCAAAATATAGAGAGAAGTACCTGAAAGAGAACTGGCCTCTCGTCAAAGAGAAACTCTCCAGTCATGTTAGTATGAAAAATTTTTAATTTTATTCAATATTATTAATAGATAATTAATTTTTAGATTTGTTTTTTATTTAATTTATTAATAATTATGGTCTGTCTATCTAAATATGTATATATAAAAATTAATTCTAGGACATCAGGGCCGACCTGGACCTAATCGAGGGCACCATGAAAGTTTCAACTACCAAAAAAACTCGGGACCCATATATCATCATCAAAGCTAGAGATTTTATAAGGCTCGTGGCCAGGAGTGTACCGGTAGAACAGGTTCTGCTTTTTCCAGATTTTGGGTATTTCCTATATTGTTATTTTTAGATTTTGAGTATTTCTGGAATTGTTATTTTTGTATTTGGGCATTTCTATTAGGAGTATTCTAAGTTTTTTATTTTTCGGCATTAATGTTTTTAGATTTTGGGCTCCAGTGTTAGTATGTTTAGATTTGAGATTTTTCCAGTACCGCTATTATTAGATCTTAATTATTTTAAGTATTGAGATCTTTAAACTTTGCCAGGCAAGTCGTGTACTGGAGGATGACATTGAGAGTGAAATAATCCGAATAAAAACGATGGTCCGAAATAAAGAAAGATTTGCCAAAAGAAGGCAGAGATTAGTCGGGCCGAATGGATCAACACTCAAGGTATATATTTTTATTTATTTTGGGAGGTGGGCTCCAGAGATGTGCTGGCTCAGTTTATCACGTTATGTTATACAATAGTGTAAACTCATTTATTTATTTATTAATTAAAGTAATTAATTAATTTATTTATTTATTCATCTATGTAGGCCATAGAGCTTCTAACAGAATGCTACGTCATGGTACAAGGTAGTACAGTTGCTGCTATTGGGCCAATGAAAGGACTGAAAGAGGTGACGATGATGATTGTGATGATGGAGGTGATTATGATGATTGTGATTGTGGTTATGATAATGATGATGATGATTGTGATGGTAGCAGTATGAGGAAAATTTGGGTTATAATGATGATAGGAACTATGAATGATGTTGAAAAACATTGATTGTCAGTATTACTCTTTATTATCATTATTATTGTTGTTATATTATTTTTATTATTGTTTATGATTATTATATTTATATATATTTAATTTTATTTTCATATTTATTATTATTATTATTATAATGATTATTTATTATTATTTTATTCATTCATTCTCTGATCAGGTCCGTAAGATTGTAGTCGAGACCATGAAGAATGTACACCCGATATATAACATTAAAGTTAGTTGGTTGATTGATTGACCGATTTGTGATCGATTGATTGGCTGATTGATTAATTGATTAGTTGATCGGATAGTTAGTTAGTTGATTGATTGATTGGATAGTATGTTGTTTGATTGATTGGATAGTATGTTGATTGTTTGATTGATTGTTTGATTGATAAATTGATTGATAAATTGATTGATAAATTGATTGATAAATTGATTGATTGATTGATAATAATAACAACAACCCATAAAACAGATCTTAATGATAAAGAAAGAACTAGCAAAGGACCCCGCCCTGAAGAACGAATCGTGGGATCGGTTTCTACCAAAATTTAAAACCAAAAATGTAAAAACCAAAAAACCTAAAAAAATCAAACCAAAGAAAGAATATACGCCATTCCCGCCACCCCAAACCGAACGAAAAGTATTCTTTTGGTTTTGTTATTTTGTTTCATTGCCTATTTTTTGCTCCTATTATCACTTTTTATCGACTAGTTTGGATTCTACGAATCATTTACTTTAGTTCAATTACTCAACCAATCACAATTGACTATTAATATTATCATCCAATCAAATACAATTTGAATTCAATCAGTTAATCTCGATCTTCCACATTTAACTGGCCAATCATATTCAATTTAAATTCAAATCCAGCCATCCAATCACATTCAAGTTATCCAAATTCAACTATTCAGTCACGTTTAATCAACAAACACACAATCAAACAAATAACATTCAACCATTCAAATTCTATTCACCAATCACATTCGATCATTACAATTTCATCCACCAATCATATTCAATCATTTCAATTTCGTCTGCCAATCACATTCGATCATTGAATTCCATCCGCCAATCAGGTTGATAAAGAGCTGGAAACAGGAGAATACTTCCAAAAACAGAAAGAAAGAAAGAAGGCTAAAAACGAAAGCAAAATGGTTTCCATTTCTTTTTTACAGTTTCATAATTTAAATCACTAACCGTTAATTTTAATTAAAAATATTTAATTAATTTATAATAAAATAATAATTTATTGGAAAATTATTTCCGCCAGGAAAAACAGCAGGAGAATGTAAGAAAGAAAAAAGAGAAACGAATGAAGGCATTTATCCCACCTAAAGAACCAGTTCGGCCTAAGAATGATTAATTAAATAAATAAATATTTTAAATAGATAATTTAATAATTAATCAGTCAATTAATTAATCAATTAGTTATTAGTATTAGTATTAAATATCATTAAAAATATAACAACATTTATATTGTTGTTATTTAAATTATTGTAAATATTGTATGGGTTTTGGTCAGGATGGCATTTCTTTATGATTTAGACGATTAATTGGGTTAATAAATTGGATAGTTAACCAACTAATTGCCTTTTAAATTTGTTCAGTAACGGTTAAGTTAGTAATTATGTAATTGAGGTTATTGCATAGTAATTATACTGTAAAATTAACTCATCTCTTTTGTACAGACCGTAACATGAAATAAACTTTAGCAGAAAAGACAAGCCTTTTTTTTAGAAAAAATTGTTTATTTTTCGTTTTGTTCTTTGTTTTTTAATAATTGCAAAATTTCAAAATAATTGCAAAATGAAATACGATACGCGAGTGTGTGTATTATGAGCATATATTTATATATATATATGTATGTGTGTGTGTCTGTGTGGTGTGTGTGTGTATTGTTGAGAAATATCCCTGCATTTCATCTTTGATAATTTCCTGCTTCAATTTTTGGTCCAACGGTTGATGCCGCACTACATTGAAGACGGTGAGGGTTTACCAAAAGGTTCTGTATGAGACGAAGTTGTTGGAAACTTTGTTCTCTTTATAAGTTGGAAAATGATGATGAAAATACGAAATATTGAAAAATTGAACCAGAAATTTAACATTATAATATATATATAACATTATAATATATATATATATATACGCGATTTTATATATATATATATATATATATATATATATATATATATAACTTTATAACATTAATGACTGCTATAAGCAGATCACGACATTAATAATATTAATAGAAATAAAATAGTAATAATATTTACTGAATAATATTATTAACAGTAGTAGTTGCTGTAGTAGAAGTAATAGTAGTAGCTGCAGTAGATTCAGTAGTAGACGTAGAAGTAGCAGTAATAGCGTTTGTTGTAGTTGTAACATATGTATGTATAACTTAATTATATTTTGATATAATTTAATCCTGTTAATTCGTGTTAGTTCATTGAAGCATAAAGACAAAAATAGTGCTGACAACTATGTGGTCTGTAACTTTTTACTGTACGTGTGTGTGTGTGTGTGTGTGTGTGTGTGTGTGTGTGTGTGTGTGTGTGTGTGTGTGTGTATGTATATATGTACGAATGTGCGTGTGCGTGTGTGTGTGTGTGCGTGTGCGTAAATTTTAACTGAAGCAATGATTCAAAAATCTAAGAAATCCATTGTAATCGTCCGTTAACCTATAAAAAAATGAATGAATACATGATTAAACAAATGTATGAGTTAACTAATGAATGAGTTAACAAATGATTGAATAAATGATTGAATGAACGAACGAGTGTTTGAATGAATGAATGAATAAATAAATGAGCAAATGAATGAACGAACGAACGAACGAACGATCGAACAAATGAAAGAATCATTTTAATCCATTTCAACAAACCAATAACAACAAAACTACAAAACGAACGAACATTCAACCAAACACTCATTTGAAAAATCATCACCCTACATTAGCGCAGATACTTATCATTATACAACTTAATCATTTTCACCTACTTCACCTTTCTCCCTCTCTCTCTCTCTCTCTCCACTCGCTTTTTCGTACTCTCTCGCTTCTTTTTTTCACTATCTCTTTTTCTCTTTTTTGATCTGTCTTTCACTCTCGTTCTTCTTTTTTTTCTGCGTCTTTCTTCTTCTATATCTTTCTCTATGTTTCTCTTATTCTTTCATTCTTTTACATTTACTCTCATTTACACACACACACACACACACACACACACACAAACACACACACACAAACACACAAACACACACACTCTCTCTCTTTCTCTCTCCTCTCTCTCTCCTCTCTTTCTTTCTCAACCAGAAAGTTGTAAAGCTGTCCAAATGCGTCATTCAAACAGCAAATAGCGAGTGTCAAAAATGCTTCTCATAGCATAACAATAGAAATAAATGGCTGGCAAATAACATACAAACATGCCTCCATACATACATACATACGTACATACATACATACATACAATATAGCATATATATATTTTATACATACATGCATTTTTATACATTCACAACAAAGGATTTGTTTATTAAATTATAATCCGGATATGGACATGCAAATTTATATATACTATTAGTACACACATACTCATACGCACGCACACAATCACACACGCACACATTTGCACAGATATATTCATTTGATCGTGTCATTTTTTAAAAAGAGAAATCATACCAGAAAACTTAAAACTTAAATGAATAAAACTAATAATGGATAATATTGATGATGAAATTGTTAAAAGGTTTTTTCTGGTATAATAATCTTAAATTACTAATTAAAATTAATTAAATTGTATATATTAATTAATTATTGAATATTAATAATGATAATAATAGCTTTCAGTTATTTAATTTGTGATTGAAATGCTAGTGACTACAGTTATAACAATTCCTCATAGCTAAATGGATTAAAAAAGTAAAAAAAATATCGATAATTATAACGATACGTAAACAATTCAATATTTATTCCGATACTACATATCGATATCTATTCCGATAATTATAAAGATACGAAAAGAATTCAATATTTATTCCGATACTAGAAAAAAATTTCGTATTTATTTAGACACAAAGTAATATTAAATCTTTTTTTCTATAATTATTCCGGTACGTAAAATAATAAGTATTCATTCCGATATTATTTTCGATATTAAAAAGTTCGATACTTATTCCGATACTTATTCCGATAACTATTCCGATACTTATTCCGATAACTATTCAGATACTTATTCCGATACTCATTCCGAAAAATGAAAATCAATTTGGATAACATTTTGATACCGTTATATATTTGTATTATTGTCTGCATCTCTCCAGACCATGGTCATTTTCTTTTGCTATTTTTTTTCAAATCAATAACAAAATACATTTGATAAATTTGTTATTTATGTATGTTTGTATGTAGGAATATCTATGTATGTATGTGTATGTATATATGTATGTATGTGTATTTGTATGTATGTAATGAATTATACAAGCATACATACAAACAAACAAACATACATTCATACGTACGCGTTGGATGTTGAGCAATTCCTTGAAGTTAAATCGGGGTAAAACCCAGATGCTTACTGTTGATACATGGCAGCAGTTGTCGAAGTGGTGTCATTTGTTTCTACAGTCTTAAATTTGGATGTTTGGTTGGATAGCAGGCTCTCAATGAAAGATAAAATTAAATCGCTAGCAATTGCAAGTATGATTATAGAAGATTATACAGGATTCGACACTGTTTCAACAGATCTGCCGTGGAAACATTGGTACATGCTTTTGTTACATCTAGAGTGGATTATTGTAGCAGTTTGTACTTTAAACTACCTGACAAGCCAGTAGCTGCACTTCAGTCAATTCAAAATCAAGCTGCATAACTTGTCACAAAAAATTTTTAAAGTTTGATCATGTGACTCCAATGTTAGGACGAACTACACTGGTTAAAAATTGAGAAGAGGATAATTTTCAGAATTGCTGTGTTAATGTTTCGGTCAGTATATGGCTCGCCAAGCACCACGGTATTTGGCATGCAAGTTCATCAAGAAAACATCTGTGTCGGATTAAGACTTGAGATCAAATGATATGATTTGCATCTTCTGCCTGCTCATAAATCCGGAGATGATATAAACCTCCAAATATTGATGTTGCTGGACCTGTGGATTGGAACAATTTACAGGCTTTTTATAGAAGACAAGTTCTATCTTTGATATTGTTTAAAAAGGACTGGAGACTCACTTATTTTCGCGGAACTAACAATGTTTTTGTATCTGATTCATTACTGTTTCTGTTCATTCCTTATTAAGGGAGCTCTTTTATATACACGCACACACACACACACACACACACACACACACACACACACACACACACACACACACACACACACACACACACACATACATACATACAAACATAAAAATTTTAATTTGCAGCAGAGA